CAGGCTCTGTACTGACAGTGTGGAACCTGCTTGGGATTCTCTCCCTCTCGCTGTCTCTCTGCCCTTCCCCTGCTCTCTCTCTCTCTGTCTCTGTCTCTCTCTCTCAAAATAAATGAACTTTGAAAAATTTTTTAAAAAAACAAAACTTTGAGAAAATCTAGGTGACCTTGAATTTGATGATGACTTTTTAGTTATGACACCAAAGACAATCTAGCAAAGAAATAACTAGCAAGCCAGGCTCCTGTTTTTTTTAAAAACAGTTCTTCTCTGTAATTGATGCTGCCAAAAGAATGAGAAGACAAGCCACAAAATGGAAGAAAATATCTGAAAAAGGACTTGTATCCAAAAACTCTTAAAACTCAACAATAAGGAAACAAAAAGCCTGATTTAAAAAGTGGGCAAAACTCTGAACAGACATTTCACACAAGAATATATACAGATGGCAAATAAGCATGTGAAAAGATGCTCCACATCATATGTAATTAAGGAATTGAGAATTAAAACAATGATGAGATATCAAAGGTATACACACACACACACACACACACACACACACACACACACCAGAATAGCCAAAATTCAAAACATTGACCACACAAAATACTGATGAGGATGTGCAACACCAGAAACTCCCGTTCACTGCTGGTGGAAATGCAAGATGGTATAGCCATTTCAGAAGACAGTTGGCAGGTTTTTTTTTTAAACTAAATATATTCTTACCATATGGTCCAGCAATTATGTTTCTAGGTACTTAACCAAACAAGCTGAAAACTTATCCATGCAATCACCTCCGCATGAATGTTATAGCAGCCTTATTTATAATTGCCAAAACTAAAAACAACCAAGTTGTTCTTCAGTAGGTAAATAGCTAAATAAATTGTGGCACATCTAGACAATGAAATATTCAGCATTAAAAAGAAATGAGCTATAAACCACAAAAATATTTTATGGTATTTTGATATTGGGGAAGCCATGCGTATTTGGAGGCAGCTGTCATATGAAAAATCTCTGTACCTTCTGCTCAGTTTTGCTATGAACCTAAAACTCCTGTATAAAATAGAGTTTTAATTAAAAAAAAAGGGTGGGGGAGATAAAATGGTGCACTAAAGGGGTGCCTGTTTGGCTTAGTTGCTAGAGTGTGTGACTCTTCATCTCAGGGTTGTGGGTTCAAGCCCCACATTAAGTGTAGAGGTGACTTAAAAAACTAAAATCTTTAAAAAAAGGTACATTAGAAAACATCTATTTAACAAAAAACACAAAAAGCCTCAGACACATGGAAAACAAATAGCAAAATGGTAGATGTAAGTCCTACTTTATCAGTAATTACATTAAGTATAAATGGATTTAACATTCCAATTAAAAGGCAGAGATTGGCAGAACAGATTAAAAACATCATCTAACTGTTTGCTGCCCATAAGAAACATACTTTAAATTCAGAGACACAAATGGTCTGAAAGTTAAGGAATATAATATAGATCATATAAATAGTAACCAAAAGAGAACTGTAGTAACCACATTAACATCAGATAAAAACAAACTTTGGAACAAAAATTTTACTAGAGACAAAGAAGAATACTATATAATAATAAAAGTGTCACTTCATCAAGAAGAATAACAATTATAAGCACATATACACCTAACATCATAGCCCCAGAATACATGAAGCAAAAGTTGACAGTAATAGTTGAAAACTTCAAGAGTAGTTGGAACTTTCAATAATAGAAACATCTAGGCAGAAGATTCTTAAGGAAATAGAAGACTTGAACAGCACTACAGACCAACAGTTATCTGTAGAGCACTCCACTGAACAGCAAAATACTCCTTCTCAAGTGCACATGCAACCTTCTCCAGGGTAGGCCATGTGTTAAGCCATAAAACAAGCCTCAAAAAATTTAAGAGGATTGAAACCACAGAAAGTATGTCTTCTGACCACAATAGAATGCAATTAGAAATCAACAACAAAAGGAAATTTAGGAAATTGCCAAATAAGAAAGGATGTTTAAAATATATATTAAAATACTTTCTGAGTTTAATTTCTGAGAGTTTAAATTGAGTTTTAAATAGAGTACAAACAAAGAGATGTTTCTATTGAAATTAATTTAAAAAATATTAGTGGCCTTAATTTCTCTTTCTCCCTAGAGCTGATATACCAAAAATACTCCTATATCTGTGATCCCTTTCATCATCAGCTAGGAGTCCTCTTTAAAAGAAAGTATATCATCATCAATCACTTTACCTTTCCATTTTAGCCCTGATTGTTACATTAAAGCTAGTTTTTTAAATAAATATTTTTTTAGAAACTTAAAAAAAAAATTAACATTTATTTTTGAGAGAGACAGACAGACAGAGAGTGAGTGGGGAAGGGGCAAAAGAGAGGGAGACACAGAATTTGAAGCAGGTTGCAGGCTCCGAGCTGTTAGTACATGGGCACAACGTGGGGCTTGAACCCATGAACCATGAGATCATGACCTGAGCTGAAGTCTGATGCTTAACTGACTGAGCTACCCCTGCGCCCCTGTAGGTAAATATTTTTAATTGTTGCTCAGTTGATGCAAGCCTATCATATAAACTGAAAACTCAAAAAGATATTCTAAATAGCAACTCCCCAAATTAAACTCTTAATCAAAAGGTAAGTGATTTTGTGGGAAATCAGCTCTGTAGATATTGGATTTGCCAATCTCTATAATCATGTAAGCTAATTACCTATCATAAATATTACATTTAAATATAATAAATAATAATATATAAAATATATATATTCCCAAAAATTAGGTGTTTTCACTACTCTAATAAGAAACAATCTTTCTACTAGAAAGTCACTATAACTTACTAAATATACATCTTCTCCTAAACACTGTGGGGATTATACCAATAAAGAGATTCAGATTCTGTTGTCAGCAATGTTGTAATCTACGAAGCAGTTGGTTCTCATAAGACAAGCACACAAATAATTTCAATTACATTCAAAATGTGATAAATGCAATGATTAAGGCATGAAAGAGTAAAGTGATTCAAAAAGGAAATTATTACATCCAATTAGAATACTTAGGAAAAACTTCTTATAAAGCAATGGTTGGCAACCTTAACTGCTCATTATTATCACCCTGGTAGCTTTAGGAAACTCTGGTAACCAGACTTCACTACAGACTATCAGAATATCTCAGGGAAGTGGTCTGAGCATCAGAATATTTTAAATCTCCCTAGGTGATTGCAATGTGCAGCCAAGTTAGAGGACCATTGTTATAAAGGATGGGGGTAGGAAGGAGTAAATAGAACTGAATGATGGGTAAGATTTCAGTTGAAAGGAAGAAGATACTGGAGAACGCGGAAGAATCTTCTCCCCATATGGCTGATTATTTTCAGTTTTCAAATCAGAGCCCAAGTATAATATTCTTTCAAATGCTCTGAAAAACTTCACTCCACTGATGATAGTAATAATAATGGTAATAAAAGCTGACACATTTTTATAGCCCTTGCTATATGACAAGTATCATTCTAAGCACTTTAAATATATTTCAAAATTTAATCTTCCCTCAAACACTAGGAGATAGAATTGTTATTCCCATTTTTCATGAGAGGAGGGTAAATAACTTGGCAAGGTTATACAGCTAACAAGTGGCAGAACTAGAATTCAGATATAATGACTTCAAAACCCATGTTGAAACATGGCCAACAGGAGCTAGATGTTCCTTATCAAGACTCTCATGGAATCCAGGCATATTTCAATCACACCATGAATCACATCATATTGCAAATGTTTACTAGATTTCTCTCCTCAGCTCATCATTTATTCATTCATTCATGCATTCAATAAACAACTACTGGAAATGTGCTTGGTACTAGATATACAAAGTCATATATGTGATATTTTATCTGTCCTGAAGTTTTAGTCTAGAGGAGCATTCAGCAAACTACAGTTCACAGGCCAAACTCTGCTGGACATCTGTTTTTATAAATATATTTTTTATTGAACCACAGCATGTCCATTGGTTTATATATCACCTATAGCTTCTTTCATGTTACAGGATCAGAGTGCAATAGTTGTGAGGGAGACCATCTGGTGGCAAAGTCTAAAATATTTACTATCTGTTTTCTTATAAAAAAAAAAAAACTTTTGCCAACCCCTGGTCTAGAGAATAAGGCAAATAAGAAAATCATCAACAGGGGCACCTGGGTGGCTTAGCTGGTTGAGCATCCGACTCTTGATTTCAGCTCAGATCATGATACCAGGGATGTAGGACTGAGCCCCAAGTCGAGCTCCATGCTAAGCATGGAGCCTGCTTAAGATTCTCTCTCTCTCTCCCCCTCGCCCCTTCCTCTCTCTTTCTCTAAAATAATGAAAAAAAAAATTTAAGAAAATCATCAATGACTATCCAATAAGGTACATGTTATTGGTGACCAAGATATTATGGGAATATAAAATATATCTAGAGTAAGTTACATATATAATAGAATATTATTCATTATTATGAATATTGGAATAATGGAATAATATTAGGGATGAATATTTTCAGCCCTAATAAAGGATGAAATCTTACCATTTGCAACAACATGGATGGATCTAGAGAGTATAATGCTAAGTGAAATAAGTCAAAGAAAGACAAATACCATGACTTCACTCATACATGGAATTTCAAAAACAAAACAAATGAAACAAAGAAAAAAGACACAAATTAAAAAAAAAAAAAGACTCATTACAGAGAATAACCGATGGTTACCATAGGGGAGGTGGGTGGGAGACTGGATTAAACAGAAGGGGATTAAGAGCACACTTATCAAGATGAGCCCTGAGTAATGTATGGAACTGCTGAGTCACTATATTGTACATCTGAAACTCATATAACACTGTATGGAAAAAAAAATAATTCTAATTTTTTCACCCACTTCCCTAGAGTGAAAAAAAAACAAAAGCTACCACTTTGTATTGTTTTCAATTGTATAGATATATTCATCTATTAACAATAGTTTTACAAATATGAATTCATTGCAATTTACTGTACCTGGAAAATTCATAGGCAGCTCAAATGGTTGCGGACGTTCACAACCCTCAATGTGCTCACAAATTTCAGCTATGATCTTCTTAATTTTGAGACCAATAATTTTAATTACTTCTCCTGTTGATAAACAGCATTCATTTCCAAACATTTCATAAATGGAACCTAAAAAAAAGGAAGAGTTGAAACAGCTTTAAAAAAAAAGAAATAAGGAAGAACAAAGCAAGAGTCTAAAGCCTCATCTAAAGTGTTTTTATTCAGTTCCTCTCCTAGCTACCTACTTACTAAATAGGAATTTAATCAAGCTTGGCAAAATGTACAGCATGTACCAAGAAAAATATTAGATTTTCACTTCATGCACTGGGCAAAGTATAAACAACCTTATTTTTGTTATTATTGTAAATTAGATTTATGGTTTCCTCAGCACCTTTAGCTCATCATTCCAAGGTCAAACTACAAACATGTCTTCCCTCTCTGGGATTTATGATCTATTTTTGCTGGGTCACAGAATTAAGCTCCTGTGAGTCAACAATGATCTAAGTATGTATTACAAACAAGGTTGTATTACAATCCAAGATCCAAAGATAGAAGGTCTGCACAACAGGGCCTTATATTAAGAGCATCCTATCTACTTATTAAACCTGTTTCTCTTCATCCTTGTGAATATAAGATTTTTTGTCCATCTAATCTCTTGATTTTTGACAAGCTGGAAACATCTCTTGATATCTTAATGGCAATAGGGGGCAGACCAGCCCAGATAAACTGAAAAGCTTCACTGTAGTTCAGAATTTCAGTCTCTTTCCTAATAAACCTTTTATCATAGATACTAAAGTTAAGCTTTCCATCCATTTATTTTCCTTTTATCTCCTGATGGAAGGAGAGCGAGCAGTGAAATAACCAGAACATGAACGACAGGAAAGAGAAGAGGCAAAAATGTCTGGATAATCTACCCCAAGTAAAAAGGGAAACAACTCGAAAACTACATCTCTGAGGTATTATTACTTTACATCTGAACAGTAAATGAAAGGCTGATGTAAAAAAAAAAATTACAGAACTGTGGGGATTTAAACATATCAATTTTTCCCTACCTCCAATATGATTTATATCCTCTTTACCATACTAAAATGTGAACAATATGAGTATAAGATTTCAGGTTGGTTGGTTTGCTTTCTGAATTCTTCTTTATTGAATCCCCTCCTCATAGAATCTTACTGATATATGGCAGGCACCGAAAACATTTTTGTAGTATCATTGGTTATCCTAAAAGTTATTAAGAGTGGCTTCCAATCTAGCATTAAACAACTCTGCCACTGTAACAGAATGTCAACAGGGAGCAGGGGGCACACGCGAATTAGAATAATTTAAGGAGATTTTAACAAAGGGGCAATTTACACAGAGGCACAGACAGTTCTGGGCAACGCAAGAAAATAAATATCCTGACCTCACTCTTCTCCCTCCGTCTGATCCTCTGCCAGGGTACCCTTCTTTGGCCAAAGTCAGCCAGAAGCCAGAGGACAAGGAAGCTGCTGATGCCGCCACAGAAGTCAGCCTCCAAGGTAGAAAGTGGAAATGCAAGTCCAGCACACCATCCTTACTGTTCAGTATTTAATGAGGACCATTTTTGCAAATATGCTAGTATATCTGCTCAAGTCCTGAGTATGTACTTTCATAAGTCCCCTTTTTTCTCATACTATTCCCTTACTATGTATGTGTTCACAACGTTCATTAACTCCCAAACATAGTTTGTTAGCTGTCTCAAATCTTTTGTGGAACAATTGGAATATTTTAAAAAAATAATACCAAATATATAGTGGCATCTTCCTCCAATGAACTCAGAACAGCTATTTTTTTATGATCCACATTTGGCACTTAATCATATACTAACATGTTATATCTTCAGTATTTCTCATTCTGTACTTACCTTTTTATGACTTTAGTTTGTATTACTCTCCATTCAAACCTCATGAAAGAAAATGTTGCATAATATTATTGCATAACTACAACACATCCACCACTCTTCCTCATTCATTCAGTAAACTTTAATGAAAACCTACTATGCGTCAGGCATTGTGATTAGTGGTAGGTATCAGAGATAAAATGCATAACCTCTTCCTCCCAAAAAGCACTGCCTTGAAGCAAACAGACAAGTAAGCACACACTACAACATATTATCAGAAAGTTTTAACATAGAAAATACAGCACATTGTGGGAGAATATTGGAAGCATTTAATTAAGCAATTACAAGGTAAAGCGATTAGGGAAGGATTCCTGGAGGAGACAACAGCTAAGCTGAGCTTTAAAGGAAACAACAGAAGATGTTGGAGAGACAGTATTTGAAAAGGCACTGAGATGTGAAAGAGTTTGATACATTCTGGAAATTGTAAGTAGTTTGTTAATGTCTCAAATCTAAAGTAAGGAAGGGTAAGAAAGAAGACTAGAAAAGAAAAGGAAGTCCAGATCATGCAGCATCTTTATGACATTACCAATAAACAAAGAAGTCAAAGTCTAATGCAACCTCAAAGTCAGAGAATCTTAATTTTCAGTTATCTGGGTCCAGGATCTGATATCAATTTGATGAGAGGTCATATGTATCTAGGGGCTTGCTATCCAAAGTGTGGTCTACTGTATCACCTGGGAGCTTGTTAGATTCTTGGCCTGACCCCAGAACTGCTGAATCAGAATCTGCATCTTTAATAAGATCTCCAGATGACACATAAATACATTAATGTTTGGGAAGCTGTGATCTAGGCCACAAATGTATAACTATAAAAAAAAGTTCTGTTCTGAGACTGTTCCAAATTAACCAGAAAGGGAAGGACATGCCATACAAAAGCATTCAGTGACGCTGAGCTGGAGGACATTGTAAATGGGGACAGGGAAAAAGAAAGATTTTTAGTCAGGAAGTGACATGGTAAGATTTTTCTTTGTCACATGAAATAGAACATGAGCTGAAGTCCGTTAGGCTTAATATCGATGCGATGAGTGTCTAATTGTAGATGTAATGTATATCAGACTGCCTTCTCAAAGGTTCCACTGGAATTCAAAATTAAAAGATGAATTTATGCGAGATTATATATCAATTCACAGGACTAGAAGCTAGAGAATTCTACGAGGAGAAAATTCTAAGAGTATTAGTCACCACACAAAAAGGTTTTGACTCTTCAGGTCTCTTTCCAAGAATCTCTCCTTTTGAAAAAAAAAAAAAAAAGTCACTTCTTTCAGTCATACAAGGAAAAGAGCTTCATGCAAATACTAATCTTTTACATTTACCTTTAAATATTTGTGACTTTCAATTTTCTCTAACCAAGAATGCCGTTAATTCATTTTTAATAAAGAAAGTGGTTGCTGACACAAAACACTAAAAAGTTATGTCCATGAAAGGTAGCAAGAACGTATGGCAAATCACAAATCCCTGAAACTTGAAGGGTTCCCGTACTCTATTACCATCAACATAATGTCTCCTAAAATATATTTTTCCTCAGTGAAAATGTAAAATGGTTAATTTTTAAAATAGCCAACTTTCATAATCTCAGAATGAGCACATATAACATATGTAATTGCCTTTTAAAAATTTGCTGAGATATGCCTGAACTATGTGTTTATGTATAATACAGATGTAGATATTAAAATAGTTTTCATTTCATTTTAACCATGACATATATTTTGAATATGCAAATCTCGAATCTATTAAATCTTTATAGACTGATTCTTTCCAAGTCAGAGCATATGTATTCAGGATAATGCCAAACATCAGAGGAAGCTGGAACAAAGCAGCCTGTTTTCAGTGATCAAACATTGCCCCTGAAGGCTGTAATGAAAGAGCCATGTGCCTTTGAAATCACCTTCTCTGTAATGCTACTTTGCTCAATAAAAATGACACATTAATATCCTTTTATGAGCTCATCCCTTATTTGACAATCCATATAAGCAATGCTATGATCACATTGGAACAGCCAAACAATTGGTTCAATAGATTTTCTTCCATTTCGTATACAAAGTTAAAAGCATGTGGCAATCAGGGAGAAGGAAACTTACATTGTTTAGAGGCTATTTTCCCTTTACTCAAGAGGTACCCATTCTCTCCATTCCCTAATTCCTTCCCCTGCCCTACCAGGTCACTCACTCACCCCTTTACCTCATCAGCCTTTCAAAATTCAACAAAACCTAAAGATTCAGCTCATATTCATCATCTTCTTCAAAGTCTTTCTTGATTCTTACACCTAGGTGAGAATTATTCTCTCCTCTGTGCTCTAAAGCAGTTTGCATGTATCTCCATTATAGCCCTTATGTGATTATTATCACAGCCCTTATGCGATTATTATCACAGCCTGCTATTGGGATATTATCTTCTACCCACTGATATTATGTATGTTTTAGAATTTATCATGAGTTCCTAAAGAAGTGATAACTCTTAACTATATTTATACCTACCCTCACATTAAACACAACTAGTAACACAGTTTTTGACACTTAGTAGATCCTTGGTGAATATTAAATTATATATAACTTAGCTTTACTGTAAAATGACAATAAATTATTGTGAATATAGTAGAAAGAATGATTAACCAGCATATCATTTGACATATTTAATATCAAATGTACAAGCATATGTGAGATTAACCAGACAAGGCATAGATGGGTAATTCTACAATATGAATCTCTTACTCGTTAAGTTTCCTATTTTACCATTAAGTTTACCATCTTTATATTGCTGAACCTGAGGGTGGTGCTCATGAAACAATCTGAGACAAGTGTAGAGTTAAAAAATTACATCTGCAAAGTTTGATTGGTATTGTATGACAGTGTATATAGAGCCTTGTCAGATTGGGATTGCCAGTGAAGATGTGTTTTTACTCGTCATAAACAGGTGTGAATATTTTTTCTTTGCTTAAGAATAGTGCAAATTACCAAGAAGAAGCTTTCCCACAAAGGAAACATGTAGGTATGAAAAAAATTTATTAGCAATGCCGTACTTGGTGGTTAAGGCATTCATTGTAGTGATAAATTCAATTTTCTAAATGAAACTCTACATAGTGTACCATAGGCTTAAAGCTTGAAGTGGCCTATGGCTGTAACAGACATTTACATGGCCAGTCTTCCGTAAAAAGACCATCTCCATCCCCTGTAAAGCAGAGACAAAGTTATTCCCACTATATGAAGAATAT